ATTGTAGTTAATTCAATAATGAAACTTTTCAAATTATCTTGTTATATGAACGTCCGCTATATTATTATATTTAAATCATTCATACATATATGGATTATATAAAAATATGGAATTTTTATTATTTTAACAAGTAAAAAGAAATATAATGCTGGATGGTACTATACCATCCTTTCTTGTATGAATAAAATGCAAAGCCTACAATTAAAAAAACCCATTTACATATTAATGTCGTAGTTACTTTCGGAATGTCAATATTAAAATCTGGAATTAATGATACTTATAATTAAATCACTATAAATATAGAATTTGTCAATCATAACAAGCACATTTTCCTTTTCGAATACTTTGACAAATTGGCGAGTTACATAAATGCTGTAGGTACTACCGATAGGGCACTGAAGGTCATTACATAAAGCATCTGAACTGAACTGAACGAGCTTATTAGCGAAGACTACGTAACACCACAGTACAGTCAGATTGTTGAGTTGTTATCTAGACAAACTGACAATAAGTCGATGACAGCAGGTGATCGTAGATTTTACTATTGTGCAACTGAAGTACTCACTCCGCCCTATAAACTACCGTATTGAATGTAGAACTGACTAAATGACATAACTTATACAAGTGAGATGAAATCTGTGCCAATTTTTAAGTGTGGCAGTCAACGCTGATTGTGAATATAATTATTTGTTGATTCAAGCGTGCAGTAGCAAATGTATCGTTTTGTACGGTTCAATACGTCCTTTGTATGTGTAAAAGGAACTCGTTAGATGTGTTTATGTAATTGCCAATGTTATTGATAAACTTTTTACTTGGAATCTAACACGTGCTGAGGAAAGACGCGAAATACCGCCTGTCAGTGGCACAGCATCCGTTTCTACGACCCGATTACTTTCTACTTCACTAGAGTTCGTAAATGGTATTATCGATCTAACAAGTTTTGACTTGTATGACTATCTAAAGAAAATTTTGCTAGCAACAATTCCACTCGGTACAAGCATCAGGCAGGATTTAATTTAAATTTGGTTCTAAAACTATATCAAACAGTGCTGATAGTCGAATCCATATAGTTACTTTCATAATCATCGAATCTATTCCACCCACGTAAGATACTCGTAGCAGTAATGTTTTCTCAATGTGGACTTCCAATCTCATTTCTAAAATTCTATCTACCTACTGCTTATTAAAAGTCTGCATTGGGTAAGAAAAAAGAGAAAAATTGTAATTAAGTAATTTTGACCATAGCAACACATTTAAGAATACCAATTCCCTCTCACATTTTTTTTAAATATTTCATTTCACTTTATAGCTTGTCATAAAGTCTAGTTAGGTGCCTTCATCATTTTCTTTTAAAATATGTTTTACATACAAAATGTTTACAGTAAATTGTGTGTGAACGAAGACATTAAAGCTTTTTAATGTTCTATAAACATGCCGTAAACGTAAACTCACAAGGTGCGCCCACGCCGATGTTTCCAAATTCCTTTTGCGGCACTTTGTTTTCACGCTATCAAAATAGATAATATTAAAAATTTGAATTTCTTCTCTCCAATTCAATCCTGAAATAAATTTTCTTTATTGGACTCGTAAAATTGTAGTTAAACGAAGCACATGAATTGCGTAATAATAATAATTGTGATCGTTTAAATTCCAATAATCCGCTTATCGTTGACTAAGATCAAGTGTGTTAGTATTAGTAAAGGTGATTTTACATTTTTACGTATCAACTATCTTTTACTTTCTGTTATCGTTCAAAAATGCGTACTTACTTAAATTTGAAATATTAGTGACTCGCATTTTTACAATTAACAACTACATAATATTAGTAAGAAGGAAGACAATTCGCCTTCCATTAATTTCTGCTGCTAGTTTTATTTGAATTAAAATAGATATTAGGTTTAAAAACCGACACTTAGGTTCTGTTTGATCTTTTTTTATATAACTATAACATCTACAACATTGTAGTTCGAATTCTCGCTATTAACAAATTCGTCTTTGATAATATATAGTGGGTGTTGCACCATCGATCGCTTTCCAGTGATCCGGCCGTCTGTGTCGACGGCGCCGGCGCATCTCGCCGTCAATGCATTGTTTATACCATCTCCGAGATTGATCATCTAGGAATTTAGGTGTGAATGCATTTCATTAAAGCCGCGCAGGGTTGTCACGTACTTCACAGTTTATCATTGCAAGTAGTAGTGTTTTGTATCTCAAGCCAAACTGATTCCACATCTGGTATCATAGAGGTGCGGTAGCCGAATGTTAGGTTTAATACTTATATCTCCGACCGAACCCAAAATTATTTTAGTCGCAACTACGACGCAAATATTAATTAAATTTAAAAAATCATGACATGTTAGTGCTTTTGTTCATTTTCTTTCTGGGGCATACTTACTTACACCCTAAAACTGCTAAATAATCCATGGATTCTATGGTTGGTTTAGTCTTTCGTATGGAGGAGACGGAAAAAAAAGCATGTCAAGAAAATGACCAGATGGGCTGTTTACTTGTTACTATCGATTGAAACAACTAATGATATGAATTAAGTGCTAAAACTTATGATATGAAATACCTACAAATAATTTAGATAAATTAAATTATAGATAAGAATCTTGCAATTATCAGTAGCAGTCATTTTACCTTATGAAAGTCTATTCCAATAGTAACCAAACTGATGTTATCCAGGCTACGTGATGGGTGGTGATGAAAGCAAATCTCATTTGTAATAAATATCCCGTCAGTTGTTGTTCCGATAGGTCCAAATAATTTATTTATCAATTCATTAAGTGTTTCAAGTTTTAACGGCCGACGTGGTAACAAACATTCATTTCGTTTAAATGTTGATAGGCCAAAAAGGAAGAAAAAAAGACGTAATGTTTTTTAAAATGGAATTGGTATCTTTTAAATTGAAATAAGTAACTATTTAGTAATCCGTATTATTTGCCTATAATTCACTACACAATACAACTAATTCTGCTTTTATTTTAAACGGTTTGAGTGCAAATAAAGATTATTCCCTGGACTAACACAATCAGGAAGGATAGTGAACAGCTGAATATAGCATTGTGACAAAGAATATTTTACTTCATCATCATCATTAAGCACAAGCCTTCCCCAAAGTTCTCCTAAGTAATCGAATTTGACGCGACATTTACTAGAGGCTTGTATTAACTGGGCTGCCAGAGAATAGGCGCCGATTTTTATTTGTGCCAGTTTTTCCGTGGGTTAGCCATGCTAGGCAGGTTGGCGATCGCAGTATTCGTAGAGAAAATGTTGATGCCCGTCTTCTGGTGTGCTGGCTGTGCTCCGGAAGTAGCCATTAACAACAACCTTGAGATAAGAGACGTAGTGTTATTATAAGGCGGCAAACACACGTCAAATTAACTTTGACATGGGTATCACGGTAAAAGTTTCCCCAAAATTCTAATGCCTAAAGTTCACTCATCCTGGAAAGACTTCATGGACTCTAAAATGGCTCAAAGCTAGAGGAAATATCTAGTAGTTTAACAAAGCCGGCGGGCATAAAAGTTTTTAGGCTAAATCTTCATAAAATGATCGTGAAATCGACTGCGCAGCCACATCAAACCTTTTTGGTTGTTGTTACAGAATAAATGCCGTAGTATCGACAATCGCAGCGGGCGCGCCGATCTCTCGGTGCGAGGCACGTTCCGCCCTTTGTTCGTTCAAACTTTATTTTTGAAGGTCTACAAATGCGCTGACTTCTTATGTCAACTCTCATTGTTGTGTTTGATTGGTTATTCTGTATTTTCTTTGTAAACGTTGTCGATAAGTACTTTTTTTCTCGTTGCGTAGTAACCTTATTATTTTGGTTTTTGTCGATGTTCTTTTTGATTTCCTACATCTAACATCATATACGGCAATAACAATACGTTTGCTTATAGGTAGGTAAAACATTACCCATATTTTTTTTTGCCCTAATGACACATTTGGCTTTAAATGTTCTCTTCATTTTTTAAAAGGTTGCCAGATTGTCGTCTCCTATTTTCTTATTAATCGCTGCAATTTTTCTGCGCGTGAATGTTGTAGCACTGCAGAGCTGAAGTAGTTCTTTCTCTGCCAGTCCAGCCTGGAAGTAATTATGAATTATGTATAACAAATTTCGATCAACCTCGCCGCACGTTTGTTGTTAGACATATGCGTCCGTATTAAACTTTCCAATCTTTCGTCATGTCTGATTACTTGAGAATCGACTACTTTAACCATTAACGAGCGGGAGATCTACAACGTGTTATTACACGGAATTACTATTCTCTGCTGAGTTAAATAACTGGTTGTAATCTCATATGCGTCTTTATCTAGCTAGTTAGTGGGACGTGAATAACGTATTTTACGACTATTGGTGATTGTTGATGGTGTTTCTTGATTCGATGAAGATTTACTTACGGCGTCAACATTATCTGAATGCTTACGAATAAGGGCCCTCACAGCCGACAGAAATCATAAAGGCTCCAGGTCCCTAGATTTTCTTCTTCTTTAAGAGATTTAAAAAGATTTGTTATTTTTATAAGGAGACTATTTACCTTTACGAGCTCGGCTTAAAGATGTAGCCGTTAGCTTGATCAAAACAAAATTTTTGGTTTCCGCGCGATTGTTTCAATTGAATATGACCAACAATCCAGATACTTATACTGTAAATATCCATCTTTACAATGGTGAATGTTTTGATTAGCAGTTATCCGTATCCTTTCGTTCTTCTATCGCGCACACGAGCCTATTTGAGTTATTGCTGACTCAAAATGTGGCTAACATTTGGAAACGTGCAAAGATTTTAAGGACTCGTATTTACCATGAAAACTTGCAAGGTGAAATAAGAGAGCACCTTGAGTCTTGTTAGGTTATTTCTCATCATGAGCCGATGAACTTGCACTGCTGGATATAATTCTCCTATAGGGATTTCCACAGACAACGGTGCTGCGCTTACCAAATCCAGTAGTCCCCTAAAATGTGACCTGTATTGATGTTTCTCGCTTTTGTTCCAGGTATTGCAACGAGACGTGGAATGCCACGGGCGGATCGTGAGCTCAGTGGTGCGTCTGTGCGGTGGTGGCGACGCGGCGCGCGCTCTAGAGCGGCGCTGGCACCTGCTGTACTTGCGGGCGATCGAGTGGCAGTGCCACCTGGAGGCCTGCCTAACTAGGATCGACAATCAGGTGAATACTTTCAAGAAGATGTTTTGTCTATTTCTCTATTAATGCTAGGCATACGATGGCAGGCAGGTATATATCGCATACTTAATGCTGGCCACTCACCATCATGAGGCTTGATCAAGCCAAAATTCAATTCAATTCAATTCATTTATTGCAGACCATAATGGAGATACAAAGGTGGTAACATATAGACAAAAGTGCATTATGGACCCTGTAGTGTAGGGTATCGCAATTGCAAGAGGAGAGGACATCTTATTCATAATTCCTTATTGTGATATAATTTGTTATATCCAATGAATTAAAACCCATAAAAATTATTTATTCATACTACTCCAATAAGATATTGTATAATTACATTTATGATTTATGTACGATTATTAATTATGTAAGTATTGTATTATATCTTTTTATAATAAAAATAATATTGTATTTGTTATATTTATTCCATAGTAGTTTTATCATTTAGGTACTCCTGGAGGCTATAATAGCATTTATTCAATAACATTAACTTAATTTTTTTAATAAAAACATTGTAATTTTCTTCATTTTTTAAATTTTCAGGTAATTTATTATAGATTGTTATAGACATATTATAAGTGCTCGATGAGCATAATTTAAGGCGAGTAGTTGGAACCATTAGGTTTTTCTTGTGTCTCGATGTATATTTTGAAGGAATGTTTTCTCTTCTAGTAAAAAAAATTGAGTATTTTTTTACAAATTTACAAATCTCAAATATATAAATGCTTGGTAAAGAGAGAATTTTACATATTTTTGGAAGTAAGGTTTACAACTTTCAGTTTGGTTAATATTAACAATAATACGAATAAGTTTCTTTTGTAGTGTAAATAAAGAGGATACGTCCGTACTGTTCCCCCACAAGATGATTCCATAGGTAAACCAGGCATTGGCATAAGCATAATATGTGATAAGAGCAGTCTTTAGATCTGTTGTTTTTTTGACCTCTCGAAGTGCATATGTAAAACTAGATAATTTATTTTTTAACATCTGGATGTGAGATTTCCAATTTAAGTTAGTGTCTATAGTTATACCCAGTAATGAAAAATCATTCACAAATTCGATATTTTTGTTTTGAAAACTATAACAGAATTTTAGCGGTAATTTTTGACGCGGGTGAAAGGTTATTAATTTAGTTTTATCAAAGTTTATTCTAAGGTTATGTTTGTTTAACCAGTTAAAAGTCTGGGTCATTATTAAATTTAATTTGGTTTGTAAGTTGTTGTTGTTTCTACAAGATGTGAGAAGAGAAATATCGTCCGCAAATAGGACACACGGTTCCTCTATTGTTTTAGGGAGGTCATTGATATAAATTAGAAAAAGGAGACATCCGATGACGCTCCCCTGAGGAATGGAAGCGTTTATAGTTTTACTTTCAGAGAGAACCTTTATTATTTCTTTGTGTATATGATCAAAATATTCTATTTCAACAGATTGCTGTCGGTTTTGCAAATAACTTTTAAACCAATTGTGCGCTGTTCCGCGAATGCCTATTCCGTATAATTTATTAAGTAGTATTTTATGATTAACACTATCATATGCTTTCGACATATCCAATAGAATTCCAATAGCATATTTTTTATCTTCTATTACTTTAATTATCATTTCCTTCTATTACTTTAAAAATCCTTTCCTCAAGTGGCATGTCCTTTGAAAATGTCAGTCAGACACAGTCAGTTTAGCTTGATCAAGCGGCAGGATAGTGAGTGACCACTATAATGGAATACAGACGTTGTAGTAAATAGGCCATACAGACAAATGCATGTACGAACTCCATGTATGGCATTTTGCGTGCAAATATTGCTAGAGCGTAGACAACACCTTACCCTAAAATAATGTAGCGTACAAATATGGTGCAAACACAATGTTGTTCGTAACTCAACGTTGACCTAAGTTCTGATAGGTCAGTATTCCATTAAGCGTGTGAAATTTCTGTCCATTCTGTCGGTCCTGGTTCCTCAAGGGTCTTAATTTATGTTATTAAAGGCCACTTTCACTTTCAATAATATTCAAATTAAAGTTTAATCTAGTTTAGCACTTTATGTCAAACTACTAATGCGTGTAAGCGTGTTTTTATTTTCGATGCATTTAAAAGTTTTGGTGCAAGTGGGCCTAAATCAATTGTAGAAATTAACGTTTCTATCATGATTTTTAAATAAAATGTGACAAATACTACCAATATACAATGAGCGACTTTCACAACACCCTAAGTAAGCGCGAAGAGCTATATTCGTGTTGTCATAGCCTTAAAAAACCAAAGTTATCTATCTTATCAATGAAAGTGATACGAGCCCCATGCGATTGTTCACTTCTCAGAAGTTTGCGTTTTCCCATCGTTCGGCATCGGTACTCGACATCGACACCACAACACAACAATGGCGCAATCAACCACCCGTCGACGCTGTTTGCAAACACGACCCCAAGTGGCGTGCAAAATTGCCCCCTAACGATTCCGATGGGCTTTAAGTCAACCAATATTTCTAATAATTTGAAAGGGTTAGCAACAATGTTTTTACTTTCCTTTTGACGTGACAACGTCTTAAATTAGGTTGCGGCTGGGAGTCACTTATGAAAAAGTGTAACGCTCGGTAACGTTACGATGAGTCTCTCGTGTTAAGTTTAAGTTTACATGTACAATGTTTTAGTAAACAAAATATATTTCTATAGTTAAAATTTGTGCAATTCTTATTTTCATTCAATTCCTTGTTCCTATTGTGCAATTTAATTATATTCATATCAATAAATATTCTACCGAGAAAAAGACGTTGTCACGTAAAATCTTCGCCCGTAAAACCGACTTTACAGGCAACCATTTTTTTTGTTATTTATTTTCGAGGAAGACCAATGGCTGATAAAAATAGTTTATGTTTTTATGTATGTTCATATAGATTTTGTTGATAAAAATATTGACGGCAGTACATCAATACAATCTTAAAAAAAATGTATTGAACGGAATATTTAATCCCTGTTGTGAAATAGAGCCTGTAGGTGTAGCCTTTTTTTATCTGTTGTAAGAGATATACAGGTTTGACCCGTTTGTAAGGAGAAGTAGAGGAGCATAGAAAATGCTTAAAAAGTTGCATATTTTTCCTTAGTATGCTGATAAATAATAAAATATATAAAAAAAATGGTTGCCTGTAAAGTCGGTTTTACGGGCGAAGATTTTACGTGACAACGTCTTTTTCTCGGTAGAATATTTATTGATATGAATATAATTAAATTGCACAATAGGAACAAGGAATTGAATGAAAATAAGAATTGCACAAATTTTAACTATAGAAATATATTTTGTTTACTAAAACATTGTACATGTAAACTTAAACTTAACACGAGAGACTCATCGTAACGTTACCGAGCGTTACACTTTTTCATAAGTGACTCCCAGCCGCAACCTAATTTAAGACGTTGTCACGTCAAAAAATATGAATAGTTTATTACGTTACTATGCCGCACCCTTGCTATTTCCAATTGAAACTGTTAACAAACGGCTAGCATTTTAACCCCACAACTTGACTATTACTCTTTCTAAAGGGTTACCGGCACGTGTTCTAGCCCTTTAAAATTATACCCATAGTCTCTCATGTGGGTTATGTTTATCATATATGGTTGCTAGGATACAACTTGACCCAAATTCTCATGTGATGGCACTAACTACCAACCGCGCGCGTGGTTTAGGGTCAACTGACATCTTTGCGCTATAAATTTGTTGGGGATCTCACAGGCGACTTTTATTGTAGGCAATAAATTAAATTATGGATTTGGCTTTTATTGTGTTTAATGTAATTCATTATAAAATCATTGAGGATGGTCCTTATTTTGAATCAGTTAGTGTAATTGAATACGTTAGGATGAATAGTTTTATTTACCGGCCTGAATAGAAATTTAATTTATTGTTTAAACTGTATCTTTTGTCAGATAAATCAAGTTAACTTTCTGCATTGATCCTCCCGGGAAACAAACTAGTCACAACGAATTGCCAATTAAACCCTCTAATAAAATAATAATATTGTGGTTTTAATTATATTTCTGTTAAATCTATTGTTTTTTTTAATACATTACTTTTTTCTTTGAAAAAAAAAACAGCAAACGCGTGTTTGCTTTTCGGCTACTGGAGGTAAAATTTAAAGATTATCACTTTGCAATAGAAGAAAGTCTGCCTCTTTCACTATACGTACGCAATTTTAGTTTTTTGGCATAAGAATACTAATGAGCTAACAATTTCTTCCAGGGTGGAGCATCGATAGAATCTGCGAGCGATAGCGACGACGAACCTGCTTTGAAACAACCACGTTTGAGTAGGAGGGGATCACCCAGACAGCAGCGGACACCGGTCAATGCTCGGCGAAGGAACAGCTCAGTGGACAGCCGACAGTCCGCCTCAGAGGTATGCACTGATGAGTCGACTCTGAAGCAACCCCGTCTTTGTAGAAGGAGCTCTCGGAGGGCAACGGACACCAGTCAATGCTTGGCGAAGGAACAGCTTAGTGGACAGCCGATAGAGGTACATATGTACAAACGAGTCTGCATTGAAGCTTTGTGGAATAATGTTTATACATCATCATTATATTAATATCGCCACTGCTCGGGTACAGGCCTATCCTATGGACCACGCGAGCGCAGTGCGTTAATGACTGCAAATTCAGCCGGGTCTAACTGATTAACGTGCATTTCGAAGCACGGAGCAGCTCGATATAGTGAACTTTTGGTCCTACTTCCGCAATCGAAGACCAAACGTTCTAACCACTTGTGTCATTGAGCTCCTGGTACTTATATTTTACTGATTGGGTTTGCTAGCCAGCGTGGGAAACTATTGTTAAAATGGCAGACTGTGGTATGATAGAAAAGGGGAAAATATGATTATACCTATATGAATTTGAGTTTTCGTGTTCTTGGACTGTAGATACACTTAAGTATTAAGCCGTTTAACTTTCTGCAGCTATGTAGTACTAAATAATTTTTTCTATCCCTCCAGGAGGAACAAGAATATGTGGTAAAGTACACTTGGCGCGGCTTCGGCTCGGACTGTGAACTGGAAGTGGCGAGACAACGGACTGTAAACATGGCGGACGAACGAACCGTGCCCGGCGCGGCCTGTGGCGCAGTATCAATCTACACCGACCAGACCGTACCCGCCGCCATGGACCAAATCGACGGTTAGTATTGTTCCTATATTTACTTTATTATAACTATAGTGGCGAAACAACGGACTGTAAACATGGCGGACGAACGAACCGTGCCCGGCGCGGCCTGTGGCGAAGTATCAATCTACACCGACCAGACCGTACCCGCCGCCATGGACCAAATTGACGGTTAGTGTTATTCCTATATTTACGTTAGTATAACTATAGTGACGAGACAACGGACAGTAAACATGGCGGTAGAACGAACCGTACCCGGCGCGGCCATAGAGGTATAAGCATAGAGTGGGGAAGGTGGCTCTAAAAGTGTCCGTCTAGTAGAAAGAGAAAGAAGATGAGAGACCGCTAGCTATCGCTCTCTCTTGTGACGCATGGCATCCAATGGCATCACATCGAAATAGGAAGATGCTTGCGCCTGCGCGATTAGAGAGAGAAAGCTAATGGTCTCTCATCTTCTTTCTATTAGAGGGACACTTCCACTTGTAGTAGAGTCTGTATTTCCCCTACTCTATTCTTATACCTCTATGGGCGCGACCTGTGGTGTGGATTATTCAAAAAATTCAAAAATTCAAAATTCAATATCGTTTATTCAGTCTAGGCTGTTGTACAAGCACTTGTGAATGTCGAAAAGCTACGCCATCGGTTCGCAAATCTACGGCGGGAGACCTTGTACTGAGAAGAACCGGCAAGAAACTCAGCAAGGGCTGTTTTTTTCTCCCTGTATTATATACAGAGTCGTCAAATTGAAAAATGACTTCAATATGAGGTAACTCATAAAGTCACTTTTCATTACAAACAAAAAAAAATGCAAATAATATAAAAATTATGACTATAAAATAAAAAATTAAAATATGTTAAAAAAAGATGGTTTAACAAAGTTTAGGAATGACGTGTCCTACCGCTTAGGCAAAAAGAAAATAATAATAATGAACGATTAAAGTTTAGAACAACGATTAATAGTAGTACCCAGTGAATTAAGAGCAGACTCATCTCCGCTGGCAGCACCCGTTCACGAGCATGACGCATGAACCAGCCATCGCTTCGCTCAACCATTTTTTAGGGAACGCAACGACCCGCCTCACACGACACCACCGAAGAGATTTTTAAGAGAGCATGACTACTCATAACCACACATGGATACTGGTGCCGATTCTGGCGTGACCCTCCAAACTCAAAACCAAACCTAACACCAATCCCTCCCTGTCATTCCGTATAGAGAATGACAAGGATACACCGTCGTCAAATCTAAGTTTAAGCCTAGAGAATCGTGTCAGAACCGACACCACTATGTTACTAAAATAGAAAAAAAAATACATATAGGTACCAGTGTACATTATTATAACAAACTATAAACACAACGGCAGGACACATGCATGTGATTACCTAAACACTGTTGTGGACCCTGGCAATACTCTCCCAACCCAAAACCAATCAAACATCAGTCCCCCCCTTTCAGTCTGTATAGAGAATGACAAGGATACACCACTGCAAAACCAAGTTCAGGTCTAGAAAAACATACCAGAATCCACACCGCCATTAAATCTTTATCAGAGAAATAATATATGTTCACTTACATTTTGATTGCTGTGTCATACAGTATAAATACAAGTTGTGTAATGTTAAATACAATCAAAATTTAATAATAATTATCATTACAATAATAAAGTAGTATAGAGCAGACTCATCTCCGCTGGCAGCACCCGTTCACGAGCATGACGCATGAACCAGCCATCGCTTCGCTCAACCATATTTTAGGGAACGCAACGACCCGCCTCACACGACACCGCCGAAGAGATTTTTAAGAGAGCATGACTACCCATAACCACTAAAACCAATCTGCAAAATGGTTACTTAGAGTTAAGGTAATTTATCTGTACGACACTGCAAACAAATACAAAACAATTTTGCAGTTACAGCCATGCAGTTTTGTCATTCAAGTATTCTTTAACAGTATAATAGCCTTTCTTAACTAAACAACTTTTAATGTGACATTTGAACTCATTTATGGGTAACTCAAGAACAGCATCAGGAATTTTATTGTAAAAATGTATACCTTGACCCATAAAAGATCGGTAAAGCTTCTGTAACCTGTAGGCTGGCAATGCAAGCTTGTTTCTATTCCTAATATTAAAATTGTGTACGTTACTGTGTTTGGTATACAAATTGATATTATTTTTAACGAGGAGTATGCAATTGTAAATGAATTGAGAAGCAACAGTCAAAATTCCAATTTCTTTAAATTTTTCTCTAAGAGATGTTCGGCTACTCAATTGATAAATAGATCTCACAGCTCTTTTTTGTAAAATGAAAATACTTTCAATATCAGCTGCTGTTCCCCAGAGTAAAATGCCGTATGATAAGATACTATGAAAGTAACTAAAATATACAGTCCTGGCAGTATCTATATCAGTAAGTTGTCTTATCTTTCTTACGGCATAAGCTGCTGAACTAAGTTTACCAGCCAAAAGCGTAATGTGATGACTCCATTGCAGTTTTGAGTCTATCGTTATACCCAAGAATGTAGTCGAGTCTACTAAATCTAATTTTTCATTATTTAATTTAATTCCAATATGCTCAACTTTTACATTAGGTAAGGAAAATTGAATACACTTGGTTTTATTAGCATTTAGCTTTAGATTATTGACATTAAACCATTGCAGAACTTAAGAGAGAGCATTATTTACATCGTCATAGTTGTTTTTGCGCCTGTCAACGTTAAATAATAAAGATGTGTCATCAGCAAATAATACAATCTCACACAAATTTTCCACAAAAAATGGCAAATCATTTACATATATTAGAAACAGGAAGGGATCTAAAATTGAACCCTGGGGAAAGCCCATTTCCACATGAGATCCAGATGATCTAACACCATTTACCTCTACAGTTTGTATTCTGGAACTGAGGTACGACTGTATCAATTTATATGCAGTACCTTTGACTCCATAATGACTCAATTTCAATAACAGCGTGTGATGATCAACGCAATCAAAAGCTTTGGATAAGTCGCAGAACACTCCAAGGACATTCTGCGACCTCTCCCAAGCCTCCAATATACTCCTTACAAGTGCAACACCCGCATCAGTAGTAGATCTACCTCTAGTAAAACCAAATTGTTTCCTATGCAAAAGTTTATTAAGGTTGAAATGAGGTATCAATTGTTCCAGAATAATTCTTTCAAATATTTTACTAAGAACCGGTAATATTGATATAGGCCTATAGTTTCCAGGGTCATTTCTATTTCCTGATTTAAAAAGAGGTATAACTTTACTGTATTTCATTAAATCCGGAAATACTCCTTGATCAATACAGTTATTAAATATATCAACTAGATAAGGAGCAATAACGGGTATTATACTTTTAATAACTTTAGTAGAAATACCCCATAAATCACTTGTATTTTTTTGTTTAAGAGATTTAAAACACTTAATAACATCAATAAAATTAATATGTCTGAACTGAAACACGTTATCACACCTAGGTACATATTTCTCGAGCAAAGTCTTGGCAGCCACCGATGAAGAACTCAAATTAGATGTAGCCACCAAAGGAATATTAACGAAATATTCATCAAAAATATTAGCGATATGTTGTTTAGATTTTATTAACATGTTATTCGACTTAAGTTCAACAATATCGTCACGTGACCTTTCTTTGCCTGTTTCACGATTTATAACATTCCACTTGTTTTGATTTTATTATTCGATTTACATATTTTATTTTTAATAAAATTAGATTTGGCTGTTGCACATACCTTTTTAAAGGTTTTAGAATAATATTTAACGTAATCAATAAAACCTTGTGAATGATTATATTTTCTTAGATGATACAATTCATAAAGTTTGTTTCTACTTTTATAGATACCAGTCGTAGCCCAGTCACAGAACTGTAACTTTGGAGTAAGTTTCGAAGTTTTTAAGGGAAAAGCCTTATCAAATTCATTTCTTATTAGATTAAAAAGATCCCCAAAAAGAATATCAGGATCATCATGTGTCCATGGGATATGAGAAATACTATAGTCAATGTTTTTTTGAAAAATTTCTAACCGGTTTTCTGTTACTGGTCTCAATTCAATCACTTTAGATTCATTTGTTACATCTATTTTATATTGTATTTTTAAGCCATAATGGTCAGATGTAATACTATTAAAAATGGATTTATTATCAGGAGTACTATCTGTAAATACGTTATCCAAACAAGTTGCTGAATGTGATGTCACCCTAGTAGGCTCAAAAAATTGATGGGTCAAATTAAAACATTTAAATAATGATATTATACGTACTGACATTGAATTTTGTTCAAGAATATTAATATTAAAGTCACCGCAAACAACCAAAAACTTATTTTTCGACTTTAACTTTTTCAGTACATCCTCCATCACAGATTCAAAAATGTTAAAGTTACCTAGAGGGGGTCTGTATACGCATACTATTATCATCTCATTTAATTCCACACAAGACAGCTCAATGCTACGTTCAATTGAAAGGCCAGCTATATCCTTTCTATCCTTACATTTAATATTTTTGTTAACAAAAATCAATGAGCCGCCATGTATGGCTGTCCTACGAACATAAGCACTCAACAATTGAAAGTTGTTTATGTGATACGACATTTCACAAAGCTTGAGCCAGTGTTCTGTTAAACATATAATGTGTATGTCCTCACTTTTTGAATACAATTCTAATTCTAGGTCTTTGCCAGCCAAACCTTGTATATTTTGATGAATAATATTAATAACTCTTTTATTAGGTTTGGCTTTTGTCTTTAAGCTCAGTTTAAAACTGGGCTGGTTAAGTTATTAATAGAATTAATATTTCTTTTACTAGAAATACTAACACTATTTTGTCGAATACAGTTAGTTATACCATGTATAACCGTATTTTGTATATTAAAAGCTAACAAATTAGCTATCTGGGTCCTATATTTCTTTGCGAGATACATAGTATCTGTAGTCAACTTAAAATATCTAATATATTTATTTATATCGAAATATAAAAATACGTCACTATGACTATTAATTAAATTATAAAAACTTAAATTTAAATTAAAGATGCGCTTAAAGATGCGCTGCGTATTTATCGATATCGTACGGTGTCGGCATTGAATACTCCGCTACTAGTGCCATCTGTTGACAAATCTAATAATGCCTCGCTCCATTTAGTTGTATGTGGGGCGTGTAGATGTCGCCGCCACAGCATGATTAAAATTTTATGATGGTTGTGAATGGTAGAGAATGCCTATGGCATTAAGTCCGCCATTTACTGTTTTTGGTAATAAAGAATAAATAAATAAATAAATTCTCACCTAAATGAATTTAACATTCCATTATTAGGTGATTGAATTATCTTCTCAAAACAATTGTATTAAATAGACAATATTGTAAATCAGATCATTCATATTAATATCACTTTATGTATCACTGTCAATACAGAAAACAATCCAATCGATAATTGGCGCATTGTTGTAAGTAATGCTTCCACTTTCCATTTTCCCACAAAAGAAAATATTCAAACAACATCATACATAATGTATAAAGAATACCTCATTTGAATTTCGAACAATGCAATATTGACATGAGCAATGAAAGAAACAATTACAAACTAACAAACAAACAAATCGCTTTGTCGTTCATTGAATGAGAATGCTTACTTATCTTTCCACAGGTATGGAAACGAACATATCAGTAACTATAGAAGAGAAAATGAAAACTCCCCCAACCGTCATCAAAAGGAAGAAACCCGTCGATTCGTCAAAATTCAACCAATCAAATAGGAAATCGAAAAACTGCGCAACCTTCTACTTCAGACATCACGACACGGACTCTGACCGACAGATGATCGAGACCGACGAGAAATCACAAGAGGAATCTTCGGAAGAAGACGAATGGACTTACGTAGGCGGTGCGAAGATAGCCAATGAGGACTCAACGGACATTATGACGTCATCAGTCGAGATCCAATGCGAACTACCCATAGACGATAAAAAAGACAAACCACCATCCCCAAAACCGAAATTGGAATCGTCCACCCCGGATCTACTTCGCGTTGAGAATACCAGGTGCAAAGATATCGAAAGACTGGTGATACAGGCTGAGGAACTGGTACAGAAACAAGCGCAACACAACTTGGCTAAGAAAAAGGGAACGAGGACTTTTAAACCGCTGATGTTTGAAGAGGAAGGTACCAAGGCGAACAGAGCTAAGATGTCAAGGATCAAGGAATGGCTGAATCAGAGTACGGAGGAAAAGAATGATAGCAACCAGGTGAGTCATAAACATTTTGTTGTACTTTAATCGTATGATATTATTAAGTCACTTTTTACAGTAAATGTTTAGTGATTGGGAACTTTACTTAATAGAAAATACCTAATACAGTAACATATTAGACTTTTTATTGTAGAAAACAAAGTTATAGGATTCAGTCACATTTGAAGGTTCCGAAAAAACACAAGTCTTTTCTGGTTTATAGTTAAAGAATGCTTGCTCTCAAAACCACTTTTGCTGTAGTAAGTTTAGTGGTTTGGCACTCTAGTTGATCGAAAATATTTACAGTTACTTCTCTTGTATTCAGAGATCTCTGGTTAAAGAATTCTAAGGCTCACCTTAGAATAGCGTAACGTTATTTTAAAATCGGCATTCATTTATATATTTCCAGGGCACGGAAAGTTACGACGCGTCAGGCGAATATACGACAGAAAGTGAAGTGGACACCTCCCTCACTTCTGAAGAACGGAACCTGCACTCTTCTATGGACATGAGCACTTCCACCTGCACCGTCACACCTACACACCAGGCCAAGGTAAAATTGACTTTATTGCTTATGTACTAAATCTCCTTTTAGCTTCGTGTGCGGACAAAGTATATTCTATCTCACGGAAAGTTATTTTGAATATAGTCGTTGTCATATGCGCAAGCGCATATAGCTGAGACTTTTTAATGTTACATTAACAATGTTGTTTTGTATTTCATTTCTTATTTAAAAGGTTATTAAAATTGAATCAGATACCTACATGTTTATTGTTTTCATGAAATAGAATATTATACCAACAAGTCACTAAACATTCATTTATCTAATTCTTTGTATCGTACTAATATGTCAGTATTTGTAAATAATGACCTCTTATGTCACTTTTAACAATATAGTCATTGCCAGTTTGATAAACGATAACCTAACGTTGCACATTTCACTACTCCTTCTTAGAGTTCACATCAGGAATATTCTCATAGAAAGGATATTTATATCTGATACAGAGATCCAATAAAGCCAGATTAATAGATACAAACGTGAGAGGCGGGGAGTGAATTATCAACAGTTGCTCGGTCTGATGAAATGGATCTGAGCTAACAAAAACTTCATCGATCATCCATTTATTTATACTTCTGAATACTTAATCTACTTAATATTTTTTATGCCACTGTAACATGTCCTAATGATACGTAAAGTTGAACCTGTGAACCTAAATTTTTCTGTTACATGACTTTGTACAGACCGCCACTCAAAGGCCAAACTATTCAAAACCCATAGTAGCTATATGATTGGTCTCAAGCGAGACTAATTATTTATCTATGTCAAAACTGTCAAATTTCTCCAACTGACTTTGTCCTAAAAACATGATTTAAAAGATTGAGAATCTTGAATGAAAATTAATTTAATGAGAACAGAACTTTAGGATGTGACTAACTTTAAACACATCGCCTTACTATAACATAACCCATTAGCTTGAGCCTTAACTCATAACAGGTGCAATTACGCAAAAAGCGGGGCGGCAACAGCGCGCGGCCGTGGTCCGTCTCCTGTCTCTCTCAGCTAAGCGGCGCGGGCGCATCATTGGTGGCGACGCCTACAGCGGGCGACGTTGCCGCTATGTCGCACAATATGTCGATATCCGAGTCGGCTTTGAATACGTTGGCTTCACCGCAGGAAGTTACTCCAGCTAATTCGAGTTCGAAGTTGCGTGGCAGCTCGACTACTGTTCAGGTATAGTGTGATGAGGATCATTTTTTTATGTATGGTGATGGTGAATGTATTATAATATCTGGAAGCTTATAACTACAAGAGTAATGTTTCAAACCAATACTCCTTTATTAATAAACGAGGAATAAGTTTAGACTAGTTACGCCGCGTTTTAATTATATCACTCAAGTGCCACTTGTCATTCAATGAACAGAGACAAAACATAAAGTAACTAATCCAAGTATAGTCTTCGTTTATTAATAAGGGGAATAAAGAACACCATTCTGAATTTATATTAACGGTATCAATAACTGCAAGAGCAATTTTCTGAACCCATTATAAACTATTCTTAGATATACTTCAAACATCCCGTAATGCTGGATTGTCGGTCGTACTGTAGAATGTACTGAGAATGCAAGATGAGCAGTGAATGCGGAATTTTAATTTTCTTTTTACGCTTAAAACTATTATGTAAATAGCTAGCAACTTTTCTAATTACAACTTTCTTGCAAATATGGCGTTGAAGTTTTACAATGGGAGTTTTGTTACACTAAATATTTACTATCACTTTTTATTATCTGTTAATTGCCCGTTAAAAACCTTAAAGGAACTATTACCGTTCAAGTTTAAATGTATAACAGTAACGGTTACTTAATGCTCCTTCTTCAATTACACAGGGGCACGTTTCCAGTACAAACACAATGACTGAAGCGTGCACTTCTTGCGTGGAGAATAACGAGAAACAGTGCTGGCTTCGAAGGAAAAGGTTTAAGTTGCGGCGAAATAATAACCCAGCGAGAAGAGAGAGACTGGTGAAGTCCCTCTCTTTCTGCGGTCGTCTAAGTCCTGAGATAGTAGACAAAAACGAGAGGAGTGCGGCCAGTGACCCGGCTACCAGTAGGAAAGGAAGGTTAGTGTCAATCTCTTCTACAAACATGATTACTAAAGCATGCAGTTCCTGTGTGAAAACCAATGATAAACTCTGCTCAAGGATACGGGAAGCGGTAGGTAAAACGGAGGGTAAGTATGAGAAAAGTGCGGTAAGAAATTCCGCCACTAGTAGGAAGGAAGGTTAGTGTCGTATGTTTACTTGTATGGGATAATGACTTCTACGACAACAACCTGGCGAAGAAAGAGAGTAAATAGTGAAATCTATGTTCTACTGAAATCAACTCAGTTAAGAAGTAGAAGATAATCGAACCAGACGAGAGGAACGCCGGTGAGGAGAGAGACAGATACTGGTGAAGTCTATCTCTTTCTGCGGGCGTCTAAGTCCTGAGATAGAAGATAAGAATGAGAGGACTGCGGCTATTGATCCAGCTGCCATTAGGAAAAGAAGGTTAGTGTCAATCACATATCTATAGCACAAAGGCTCTAAAGTAGAAGTATAAAAAAAAGTGTGGTAAGAAATCCAGCTACTAGTAGGAAGGGAAGTTCAGTATCAATCTCTTATCTATAACACAAACATGATTACTAAAGCGTTTCCTTCTTGTGTGGAGGCAACAACCCGGCGAGGAAAGAAAGTGACTGATGAAGTCCCTCTCTTTCTGCGACTGACTAAATCCTTAGATAGAAGATAAGAACGAGAGGAGTGCGGCTAGTGACCCGGCCACCAGTAGGAAGAGAAGTTTAGTGTCAATATCTTATCTCCAACACATTAAGATACATAGGGCATTGCGGATTTTTCTCCAAATTGGAGCGCGGGATGTAACCACCTCGAGGAGCTCGATGGCGTGGGTGATTAGCGCGTTAGGCTGCCATCGTTGAAGTTAAGCAACTTTCGCAGTGGTCGGTCATTGGCTGGGTGACCTAAAATCTTCTATTTCGAGTTCCTCCGTGCTTTGGAAGGTACGTTAAGCCATTGGTCCCGGCTGCATCTGCAGTCGTTAGCACTCAATCCGCACTGGGCCCGCGTGGTGGGTCATAACCCAATCTCCCTATTCCATCCATAGGGAAGGCCTGCGCCCCAGCAATGGGGACATTAATAGGCTGATGATGATGATGAAGTAGCCACCTTACAGAAAACTTCAGTAAAATAAAACTTCCTTTTGGTGGTGCCGTGTTTCTGTCGGCGGGTAAGGTTCCAGGACTCCACGGGTTAGGAGCTTGGGTCAGGGTAGGCAACTGTGCGAGTGATACTTTTGGTATCGCAAGCATCTATAGGTTATGGTGGCCGCTTACCATCAGGCCAGCCATATAGCCTGTTTGCCACCCTTTTAATATGAAAAAAAAAAACAAGATGACTGAAGCAGTGGGGATTAACAATCCGGCAAGAAGAGAGAGACTGGTGAAGTCCCTGTCTTTCTGAGGCCTTCTAAGTCATGAGATAGAAGATAATGAGAGGAGTGCGACCAGTAATCCGGCTACCAGTAGGAAAGGAAGGTTAGTGTCAATATCTTATCTATAGTTCTTACGTGGAAACGAATGATACACTGTGCTGAAGAATAGAGCAGTTGGGTCTAAAATGTAGGGTAAATATGATAATAGTGTGATAAGCAATCCAGCAACTAAAGGTTAGTGTCGATTTTTATTTGTGTTGAATAATGACTTTACTCTATTTCTTCCCGAGGTTGTTGTAGAACTTAGGGAAGAAAGAGAGTAAATGGTGAAATCGCTATTCTACTGAGGTCGAATAGTTGAGATATAGTAAAATAATCTTACCAGAGAAAAACCGATTTTAAAGAGATATATCATCAAAAGCAGTTAACAATTTGAAAATACAATACTCATCAAAAAGTCTAACCAACATTTGTAGGTTTTGAAATTTTGAACTATTTTTAGTATTGTAATTACATATAATCTTAAACAGTAATTAAATATAATAAATATAATAAAAAAATATAATATTTAAACAGTAATTTTATAAACACAATCATAGTTTCTATTTATAAAATCAGACAATTATGTTCCGAGAACAATAGTGCATTATGATATAAGTGCGGTAAGTTGAGAATTACAGCCGAGGCGATATTGTTAGCCCGAGTCGTAGGTGAGGGCTATAAGAAGGCAGAGTCTGTAATTATAAATGCATACCGCACGTATGTCATACGACGTTTCATAACACATTTGCGAGGAAATAATACAACCTACGTACGTACTTTCTGAAAATAAATTTGCACCTTTGTTGGTTTTCCATAAGATGAAATTTGATACGCTTGACTGTAAGCGATCCGCGGATTTTTCGGGCAAGAGGCTTAGCGTAGCCTTTTTCGACTTCTGGTGGTGTCGAATTAATAAATTCGTTACTACTTGACAATATTTTCAAATAAAAACAATACAGCGAAAAGAAAAAGAAATAACTTTTACACAGATTAGCGATGCGCGCACATCAACGCTTTTTTAGGCAAAGGAACAAAAAACGGCCAGTGTTACTAATAAAGTTAAGGTTGTCATTTATTGTCAAAATGAATCAAAATAAAGAATTAAATGTTTATATATTATATTTTATCTCCCAAAGTTAATTTTATTAAGAAAATGTTGCCTACCTTTCTGACATAAAAACACTTTGCAAAGATTTAAAAAAGTATCGTTCGTTTTTAGACGAAACATGCGTGCGTTTTACTTTACATTACCGCACGCGTGTGTAATGTGATAGATTATGATATTGAAATTGGTGCAATAAGAGACGCTTCACGAGGAAATGTGTTATAAAAAATATTACATAATCTGTCACTTCTTTGGCAGAACAATCGTTTTTTTATTGTTTTATTTCACTTTTGGACTTTATTATATTTTTCTGCAATTTATTAGATAGGTCAGTTTTTTACAAACTAGGTCGAAAAACAGTTCATAATAATAATTATAGGTACACCTATGCCGGCACTTCGCTTATTCGTGTTTGCTATTTTCATTCCTTATTAAGCATGATGTAGACAAGCCAAATGCCGGCATTCTAAGATTGACAATTGTAGTGCAAATATATAAAATGTCGTGATCTCAACTATACAATGAATACAACTGAGATTATGCACTTCAATAACTAAGCATTTCTTCCGCAGATTCGACACAACCTCAACATCTGGCAACGACAGCGACGAGGACTTGCGCAAGAGCATAGAAAAGACTCACATCTCCACAAGAGAGCAGGACAGCGCTATACCGGAGCAGAACGAGAACGAACAATCTTCCGTAGCGCCTAGTTTCAAATTGGGTCCGGCAGGTGGCGCTGTAAGGCCTAGAATCGCTAGGAGTACAGAAAGGGAAAGGTCTTTTCTTGCCCTAAGCTTGGGCGATCCAAATCAGCTATGGGATTTAAGCATGGACAAAGACTCGGATGTGGATAAGAGCGGCACTGCTGGCACTGAGGAGCATAGTTCGTTTTCGGAACAAGCTTGGGATTTCTATCAGGTAAGAATGCTATGAAATCAGATATGTCAATAAAATTAGACTAAATATTCAAAATATCTGCACCAGTTAAGTAGTTTTATTTATCAGTTCTAGTTTAGGTAAAGTACGTGTTGTCATTGTTTGCAACCTGTCACTTTAGACAAGTATAAGAAGTATCTATTTATTTATAACTTTTTTAACTTAGATTAGAGTAGAATAGAACAGAGCAAAATTATTTAGCAGTATTTAACCTACCGACTGATCTCCAATTTTCCACAGATCTTAAACTACACCAACCGGACATTTAAATTAACCAAACTTTCATTATTTACATTCTCTTTAACAGGAAAAATACAACTCCGAGCCTTACTCAGAAGCGCCTGATTCGGACGCGGCACGCCGCCTTCTAGAATTTGGCGACGACTACCGAGCCTTCCTCGACTCGCAGTCCGACTGCTGCTCCAGTCTTTCAGCACAGCCCGAGAACGAACACAGCCCCAGCGGCACCAGAAGACGCAGACCTTCCGAAGTATCCCGCGAAAGAAGTCTGCCCCGCTACAAACGCGCGACAAAATCCCCCGTCAATACACTCCCCAGAAAACCCAAGAAGTCCATGTCCAGCGCCGAACGCAAAAAGTCCCTACTCGATAGCCTCGAACGGTCCAGAAACAACACCAGCATCGAGAGCAATGACGGCGTGCGCAGACGCAAACCGTCCGAAAGCGAACGCAAGAACAGCAAACGCTCACCAGAATTCGACTTACTCAACATCCAAGCTTTGAGCAGGAGACGTCACAGCTCAAACCTGACCAGCGATGAAGTGAATAGTTCTCTAGAATACACGGAAGTGAACAACCGCCCCGATATACTTGACTCGTTGAATAGAAGACGGCGGAATGATAACGGGGAGACGGAACTGCAGAAAGTGGCATTGTCTGAACTGCGTAGGCGTTCGACGGAGAGCGCCGACTCGGAGGACGAGTCGTCAAGTCCTAAGAAGCACAGCAGGAGGAATTGGGGCGAGGATTCCGATTCGGAATCTGAGGAAGTTCGCTCTCTTGTTCGCCGCTCGAGCGCGCACCTGGAGACAGTGGAGGCGCTGATGGCCCGCCACGAAGCTTCTCCGGACCTCCTCCGAGCTTTCGACTACGTAAGGAACAAATTCGATACAGATTACACTAGCTATTCGGAATCCGACGACGACGCCGCCTCCTACGTCACGCGCCGCCCTGCATGCTTCCGCGCTAGACTATGCCTCGCTCTGGCCGCATTCTCGATCCTAGTAATAGTATACATACATCTTCAATGACATTTGGCTTGGGCTTGTGTGATATTTATTATTATGTATGTAAGTATGCGGTTGAGATTCGCTGCGATCGTCCGATCATACGAACTCTGTGCGAGGTTATGACTCGTTTGGTTTTGTAGTTAGTCGCTGTTGGCATGTTTGTGTGAATTTGCGACGAAAAGTATTATGTACAAATGTTTTCTAGCTATTCTTGTGACGCTAACGTTGAATCTGATGATCGCAGATTTACACACTGAAAATGAGTGAAATTAGAAAAAAAATACTAATTGATGCAAAAATATTCTTAGTCAGTTTCACTTTTGGATTTTAACATAATTGACGTCAAAGTGAAATTTGTCTTTATCTAGTTTTTTTTTTCGCTATTAATTGTACGGTAGATGCCCTCACTAACACTTGCGTATGTCGTGTGTTTGTGATTGTAGTTTAATTTTTACTAACTGCCTGTTATTTTCTCTTTCTCAAAAGATATTCTCGTCTCTCCCTGGTGGTGATAACTTGGTGCTAAGAAAAGTCTAACTTAATCCGCGCTTTATAACGAATACTTTTTACGCTTGATTTAATGGTGCAGAGGTACAGAAAGTTTCGATGGAATCATTCCTAGTTACCTGTGGCATACATTGACTAAAACGAAATGTCATGCTGACAGATGTCACATTTGACGTTTTCATTAACGTTCATAAATGTGAGCCGATGACAGGGTTTAGAGATTACGGGCGGATAATTTATTTAATTTATGATAATAAGTACCTCAAATGAAACGAGATTTCTTGTCATTGAGTGATAGTAGGTTTCGTAAGATTAGTAACGTGAATAGACTAATTTATCTTGGTTGTATCTTTTTGTAATATACTTTCTTTAGATATCTGGCATAATATTTAATTTGTAAATGTCATTTGACTGAACTCCTCATACACTCACGGTGTAATGTAATTGTTGTACTTATTTCCAATAGGGATAGGTTGTTAATTGATCTTATTTTTATACAAAATGTTTAAAGTAATATTGTTTGTATAAATATTAAGAAGAATAAATGTGTCAGTTCGAAAATTTAAAATGGAGTTTCAGTCAATTAACACCCTTCTCTATTAACTCAGTTATCGCACGATAATTACGAAAGTTTTTGCATTTTATGTTTATTTAGATGAATGATAATAATAATAGAAATAAGTTTTTTTTTCTAAATTCCAAATTTGTTGTGTGTGATTAAGCTATTTTTGCTTGTTTGATTTTTGTTTGGCCTTTTTAGTTAGATAATGAATGACATAGACTAAAAACATTTTCTTCTTGAAAACCTAAAACTTCCGAAAAGTTGCCTTGTTATGATTAGAATGGCATGTATTAGAAAGAAAACCCTTGCCTACAGTGCATGTAAATTATTTGTACATACATGAACAAAAGTGTTACTTTTATTCTAATAAAAAGTGGGTGTGTGTCAAATTAATAATAACGTGAGTTAGTCAAAATTAATATCATTTAAGTTTTATGATGTCACAGCTTAGATAAGTACACAACTTTAAGTTTCATTCTAAAGCTGTGGAGGTAGTTTTTTTGCCAATTGTTTTTTTTTTCTCGCTACGCAGACGGAGGTTGTGACCCGGTGTCGGGAAAACATCAACTTATTGGACGCAGCTTTGGCAGGCGGATCCCTATCGCCGGCTCTACAGCGAGATGTTAGAGGTGAGTACTTAACACAATGAGGGTTTTCTGGAATGACGGGCGTCAGGTGGCATCACTGTACGAAAGTTCTAGGTACTCATGCGTCAAATCCATGGAGGTATAAGATATATATATAGGAGGTATAATAGAGTAGAGAGATATAGACTCTACTACAAGTGGAAGTGTCCCTCTAATAGAAAGAGAAAGAAGATGAGAGACCGCTAGCTTTCTTTCTCTAATCGCGCATGCGTATTGGCAACCGTAAGCATCTTAATATTTTGATGTGATGCCATTGGATACAATACATCACAAGAAAGAGAGAGATAGCTAGCGGTCTCTCATCTTCTTTCTCTTTCTACTAGACGGACACTTTTAGAGCCGCCTTCCCCACTCTAATCTTATACCTCTACGGTCAAATCACGTATGTCGTTCATAGTCTATGGATAAATTTAAATGCTCGTTCGATTAATTCGCCCCAAAAACAAAATACCTCATGTCACAGAGTGGCGTCAACTGGGGACGTAAATTTTTCTGAACACCCTCATTATTTTTTTAATATAAACATATACTTTTGGTAGAGGCAAGTTTTCTTCGGGTTGTTTGTTTTGTGGAATATTATTATTTAACTAGCTGACCCAGCGAACTTCGTACCGCCATAAAAGAATAAGGGTTGGTGGTAGAAGGGTGAAAATTTAGGGTTGTATGTATTTACTAATGCTGTATCATAAATTAATAATAAAAAAAATATCTAAAATTGAAAAAAAAATTTAGGGGTTGATTACCCTTAACATTTAGGGGGATGAAAAATAGATGTCCGATTCTCAGACCTACCCAATATGCACACAAAATTTCATGAGAATCGGGAAAGCCGTTTCGGAGGAGTTTAACCACAAACACCGCAACACGAGAATTTTATATATAAGATAAAATGGAGTTATTACCGATTCCATAATGTAGGTAGCCTGAAAGTTTTAACACATAGTCTACATCCAGTATCAATTCACCCCAGTTTATATGATGATTTTGATGCCGCATGCATTACTTGCATAAACTCAGACGATTCATTATTTTTTTAAGATGGTATGTAATCCAAATTTACAAAAAGGAGTAAATAATAATAATAATCTTATTTGAAACTTTTTCCTAAACTATAGTCAAGAATAATTAAAATAAATTATCGAAGACTGCTAAACACGTAGGACTCCCGTTGATATACCCAATGCCTACTGTATTATCAATCTTAAGGTTTTTTTTTTCAAAACGTGTACTTACCGAAACTCGAACACAATGTTGCGGTTTATTTAACCCTGAAATTGACAGAATAATGCAATTGCATTAAGAACGCTGCCACGAGCTGCAAATATCGTGTTCCCAGCAAAAATTCGAACGGAGACGGCCGCGGTTTCCTTCTCATATTGCAACCGGTTTCTGAACGAATTTCGTATTTTTTTTTCGTTGGGTCCAATCTTGTGATCAAGGATTCCGCCACAGTGCAATCTGTATCAGTGTTTAAAAAAAAATACAATTAAGACGTACAAGGAAATATCATTTATAATTCGTTGGATGGTACGCATAAATTCAAAGTAGGGATTTTCATCTTCTTTAGCAAAGTCAAATATATGTATTCATTCTCATTTAGGTAAGTCAGTACTTATTTATTTAAGGCAAACATTCCGTTGCTTTCAATATTTAAGTATCGCTCTGAATATGTGGAAATGATTTTTATTTAAGTTTTTGAATCTTATACATATGTCGATATTTTAGATTTCATAATACTACATTATTTCAATTTCATTAGGAAAATAAACAATAAAAAATATATTAACATACTGACTACATTATCTCTCCACTACAAAGGCTTTATTTGGCTCAGAAAACAGGTTGCCGTCGATTAAGTGACACATACAATTTTAAGTAATGGCCCTCGTGTTTTAGTTGGTTACTTATTTTTTCTCTTGTATTTTATCGTCTTCCCTATATTATTGGTCCAAGTCAATACGCAGGGATAAAATCTTGTTAAGGTACCTATTGAGAGCAGAGAGATGAATAATTCCAATTAAAAATATTAACCAAAGAAATTGTCATACTCTTTCCTGCAATATGTAAAATCGAATGCTTATAGGTACTAAGTACTTACAGTTTTTCATAAGTACCTCTGATTGCAGTAATGATTGAATCAATCGACAATCAATTCTAGAGTGACTAATTATAGGATTTCATTTCTTTAAGAGTGAAATTTAAATTTTTTAGGGTTCCGTACCTGAAAAGGAAAAAACGGAACCCTTATAGGATCACTTTGCTGTCTGTCCGTCCATCCGTTCGTTCGTCCGTCCATCTGTCTGTCAAGACCGTCTTTCTCAGGAACGCATGGAGGTATCAAACTGAACTTCATATTTAATACTCATGTCTGCTGTCCCTTGGAGCTGTGAAAAAATCAAACTTCTAAGCCAAAGCAATCAAAAGATACAGCCGTTTATGCCGCAAATTTTCTAAACTCGCACGGGAATCAAAACCTACAGGGTACTTCCCGTGAACTTAGAATCTTGAAATTTGGATACAGATAAAGGAAAAATTGCGAAAACCGTAAATTTTTAGTTACATCATATAATAAAAAATATTCTAGAAAATTTTAAAGTTACTACCTCTTTTCTCATGAACGCGTAGTAGACGTATTAAATTGAGTTTGTACGGAACCCTCGGTACGCGAGTTCGACTTGCACTCGACCGGTTTTTTATATTAACTAAAAAAACATTTGTGTAATTGCCCAAAAAGTATTTTCACATTAATGCTTTATATCGGGACACGGATCAAAGCCCTTTGAAGTTTTATTATTACAGTTAATCGTTGTGAACTAAGAGCTCATCAACAATTTGTATACAAACGTAACGCGTGGACGAAAAGGTTTAAAAAAAGGGCTAGGGTTGTCTGTTTGATATATCCTAGTGGTTATATATTTAAGGATTAAAAATCCCAATCAACCCAAGTAAAAGTTGTCAATTAAGGCATTGGTCGAAGCAAAACTGGTTGTAGAATTTTAAAAATCATTCTTTTCATGATCAGCGTTTAATATTCCAATAGGTCAACACAAAGTTGACGTCACACAATAGACATCATCGAACCGAGCGTTTTGGCGGTAAATCCAAAACCATTAAAAATAAATTCAACTTTAATTGGTTTAATGGAGAAAAAAGACATTAATTAATTTATTTTTATTTTTCTGTTAAATCGTTTGTCCCAATCTTTAAATATAAGCAGTTTAAAAAATAAATGGATAATACCCTTTTCGACAGTTTGTGGAAAATTCTAACAGAAATGAAATGAAATATATTTTCACTTAGATACATATTATAGTGATATAGACATATAAATAAATCCGATGGATGCGAATAGCGCAAAACCGCTCGAAGCGGAGATCTTTGGGGAAACTATGTGCTACCTATGCTGCTATGTGAAACCGAAAAACCTGAAAAGCAGAAAATAATAAACCCTTTTCTCTTTAGTCAAATTAATATTTGGTGTCAGTGACATACATGTCTGATGCATGTCACTGACATGCATGTCTGATACTCGTAGATCTGAGTTCTCATTTGCTACTTGGGTTGGTCATGAAATCTATAAAAATATATATTGGGGAACTACCTTAAAAAAGGGATTTTTTCCAAATATATATGGGATCAAATTCGAAGATACCCTTTCCAATAAAAAATAATTACCAAAATTAGACTTCTCAAAAAGTTATGCGTGAGCGAAAAAAATATACACGTTGAATTGATTACCTCCTCTAATTTCTTTCGTCTTAAAACATAGCGATTTTATTGCAGGGCATAGCGATTTTGAGCGCCCGTTTGGGCAAGTAACCTACTTTACAGAAGACCACAGTAAAAAATGGTATGTTGTGTTTCAGACGGTGGGTAAGGTTTCAGGGCTCCACGGGGTAGGAGATTGTGTTCAAGGTAGGGTTTCTTTTTATAGTTAGGTAGGCAAATGCCTCTACCCCACCTGATGTTATTGTTGTTGTTGTGTTTGGGTCAGGGTAGGCAACAGTGCGAGTAATAGTTTTGGTATCTCAAGCGTCTATAGGCTATGGTGGCCGCTTGCCATCAGGCGGACCATACGCTAGTATGCCACTCTTTTAACACAAAAAAAAATTGGTTGTCTTTAAAGTTGGTTTACAGACGATAGTTTTACGTGATAACGTCATAAAGAAACATTACGTAACGTCAATAACAGCCTTTCGAAGGTAGCTCGACAAAGTAAATAAAAAATCATTATTCGGACGACGCATTTCTGCAAAGGATGCGAAATGTCAATAAATAAATAAAATCAGTGCATCTAACCCGTTAAATACTTGTTTTATTTAAATAAACTTTAATTTGAAATTACATAATTGCTAACTCGGACGTCACGCGAGAAGAGAGATAAATGTGTACAAGCCGACACTTGGGCCGATCGTACCTCTCTATCGCTTGTACCGCGCTCTCGCTTGCACGCTCATGTTCAGGCGGAACGTGACACTTTTTCGAGCGCGCAACCGGTGTTCATCGATTTATAAGACGTTATCACGTCCAAAATCAAGTCAACGTTTTGAATTTTTTGCCTTTGCCGACACTGCCAACCCTGTCTGCGTAACCCGGAAGCGGCGACACGGCGCGCGCGCCCACTCGCTCGTCTCCATCTATTTCTGCCAACGAAAGCGGAACCATGCCGTGCGTTGGCGAATCGTGGACACCCCATTTAAGTGACGTCTATAAAAACGTAATAAACACTGTTGGTTAACAATAGAATAGCTAATTGAGATTCAATTTATTTTACATTTATGCCTAACTGAACTATGACTGCTGAACAACAATCGCAACAATCGGTCGCCTAAATAATTAAAACTAATATTATAAAAAAATGCGAAAGTGAGTTAGTTTGTAACACGCTCAATTCTAAATAACTGAATCAATTATACGTTTCTTAATATTGATAAATGGAACTCTTTTTTTTTTCGTTAAAATAAAACTTGGATGGGTTAAAA